TATTCATAGTTCCAAAGACTTTCGTTTTCATGCTTATTTGTCAAAACTAACTACAGCATAACTGGTATAATAGGGAAAGTTTACTTATGGTATAGGTATCCCGTTCTCATCAACAAAGTTTTTCCAATTGTTTCGACTGAATTAAGTACTAAAATGCTAAATGTTATTCCAACTTTATTTCTTCTTACCTATTAACTTACTTCTGTTGGCGTACTTTGCGCTAAAAGGTAACATAATTAAATGCTAATACAAATGAAAAACACATGTACGGAAACCATTCGTTTATAACCTCTTAACATATATAGGCCTAAAAAATTAAATTTATGAAATTGAATATTAATATACCACCTGATATTACGTTAAAATGAAGGTAAACTGTAGATAATAAACGTAATTCTATTACAATTAATAAATATTTTATTTTACGGCTTGCCTGTCAATGTTGGTCGGCCATATTGGCGCCGGACCGACCAGCTGCTTAAAAAGCCGAAACAGCGAAATGTTGGCCTCCTTTTTAAATTTGCCGCTAGTTTTGGCGCCAATATGGCGGTAATTGCGGTACTTTATATATCTAGGGACTTTAACTCCAACCTGTAGAGGGCGCCACCTACATATTTTTTAATGGTTTGAAGAATAATAACTTTTCGTGCGTACCTGTATAAAACTACCTGTGTAAAAAAATATACATTTACGACGTTTCTTAGACAAAAAAGAACTCATGGTAAAAATTGCTACGAGTAATGATTCACGAGATATTTGGAATCGAAATTATCAATACCTGTCATCATTGACATAAATTAAACATGCTGACTAAATAGTTTTTTTAGACTGAAATCACAGACTACATACTTTTTTCTTTTTTTCGTTTTCAAAAAATGAACCCACGTTGTAAAAAAAATAACCTCAAAAAAGTTATTCGCGAAACAACCCCCTACCCTTGCAAAATCTACCCTTTCCGCTTTTCCAAATAATTTTTTCAGTATCACCATTTGATTTAGGGTCAAAATTTATGGCGGAGGATTTTTTTTCAAAATTTTATCTCGTTTTTTAAGCCTACAATTTTAAAACAACCGTATTTTAAATTCACCCTTTCAGTGCCCCTAGCTTCCTTAATATGCATTTTCCGCCATATACTTATAGGAACTTTTTTTACTATTTTTAGGAGTACTCTCACCCCCCGACTTTTTTTACACCATTTCAATGACACCCTGTATTTTAAAAGCTCTTTATACAGGGTGTCCCAGAAATGAGTGCAAATATTTTAACTGGTAGTATAGTTCAACCCCAGAAACACGCCTATGAGGGTTTTTTTTGCGAAAAAAAAATGTTGAAAATTTTACATTTTTCTTGATATTTTCCGGAAAATTTTGAAAAACTTTTGAGTGCCACTGTGCACTCTTCGGAAATTCGTTTACCGTGTATAGAAAGAATCTCGGAGAGAATGCAATGTTGCCAATTCCTACCATACCTACATTCTAAATGTTTATAAATTCACAGTAATTTTAATATGCTACAACATAGCACATCACAATCACAATTTTAATATGCGTTTATACAACATGGTCGCATTCATAACTTGGAATGTAAATACCTTCATAATCATTTTAGAAGTGTATTTTTGTTTAAATTTTATTACTCATGTTTTTTAAACACGAAAATTATCATAATTATTAAATATAAAAATGAAAAAAAAAAAATAATGCTCCCTAACCGATTTTTGACTTAATCACAATCAAAAAAGTTAAAATTTACGAAATTCAAGGTTATTAAATTATGCTTATGATTACGACTGCGATGTATAAACGGTCGTATCTAGAATAATGGTTTTAACTTTTATGATTGTGACTAAAATTGTGATTATGATTACGATTATGTTGTATAAACCCGCCATAAGTTTCTATAGAAAAATACGAAAACTAAATTTATTCATATTAGTAGACATTGCTAATACTAATTTTAGGAAAACGCGCAATGTTTTAAGTACTTTTTACAGTTGAGTAGGCTGAAAATATAAATTATAAGAGCTTCTTTTCTCGCCATATTAGGATTTTTTTTCAATCGTTTCAGTCAACAATTATAATCTTTAAATATTAAGTTAGAGCTTACCCTTTTGATGAAAATTGATCGGTGTTTTTATCCAACATATACCATTACACATACACTCCAAATATCTATTAATCTGAACATTACAAATATATCACTTGCAAAATATTATTTAAAATGTTTCACATAATAATTAAACACTAAACTCACAAATACAACAAAAAGTGTTAAAAAACTTGCTTTAATAACTACTTAAAACCTCTACTGAACTCTCCCACAAAAGAAAATTAATGATTTTACATTAAAAGTGCCAAAACTTTAAGCGATACACGTACAACATACGTTGATTTTGGTTTGTTTACATTCTTTAAATAATTTTGGGAACCCCCGAGAAATCGTAAATACCGTTAAGCACACTAGGGCCCTCTACCGCTCCCGTCTAATACAACTTGCCTTGCACGCCACAGTGCCGATTGTCCGTTCACAAAGAAAGCTTAATCCGTTATTCTATAAATGTCGCTAGGTTATCAATTTGAGTTTAATTTTTGTATTTTGGTTAATAAATAAGATGATCAGCACGTTTGGTTTGGACTATTAGAAATCGTTCTAATAGTATCGAGCTTTTAAACTCCAGAAAGTTATCGGAGATTGTGTTTAAAATGTTCGTTAGTGCATATTTTTGTGTCGGTAATCGGTATCGGTATCGGTAAATCGCGATGGCCTATACAAATCCGAAGAAGGTGGATATGCTTCTAAACTCTACCTAAAGTGTGAATTTTGCATAGTTCCTCCTGGCAGGTGAAGGGGCTGCGGAAGCTAAGACGCTTTATTCCGAAGAGTATTCGAATAGACAGATCACGAATGCTCGAACCTTTGTGAGTATATTGAAAATAAAAGAATTTCGGACTTCCATTGTCTTTATTTATTTTGATTAACCCAACATTTCGGTCAGAAGGATGACTTACCGTTATCAAGTGTAAACTCTGTGAGCTGTAAGTATAGTTCAGCATTTGAGGGATTTTGGAAGTTTAGATCCTCAGGTGGGGCATCAAAGTTCGAGTGTCGTTAAGAATTGTAGTGAAGTTAAGTGTAGTGTTAAGGGCAGTTTTAGGACTGGTAAAATGGAAAAAAAGAAAGCTTTGCAATTAAATCGATATTCTATCGGGATAATCTTTTTTAATGTTTGGTAAGTTTTTTTTTCTTTTAATTTAATTTGGGAAATGTGGGATGTATGGCTACTGGCGATCATCCACTTAGTGTTTGGTTTGGTTTGGAATTTTATGGTCGCGGCAACAGCGGGCGGCGAACAAGGGGAGGTCCGGGAAATTGCCGATTTCCCCCGGCGGCTCTCAAAATGTCGCAATTTATTTTTAAAACTTTCAAAGTTAAATAACTCGGTTATTTTCAATTTATTTTAAAAATGGGAAAGAGAAAATATGTTTCTTTTGACCAGATCTACCACCCCTTCAAATATTTGCACTCATTTCTGGGACACCCTGTATATCACTTTGTCTATATTATAACTTCACTGTCACTTCATATCGCAATCGTATCGATCAATCGTCCCGATTGTATTTAGTTAAATTCATGGATAGCTAAAGTTATTCTAATAGGGTTTGCAACTCATCGCAAGGCTCTAACTTTCACAGTTGTTATTACATGTCTCAATCTTACATGAAACAACTGTTCCTCGTGACACGTATAATAAATACACTTGAAAGATTTTTAAATACTTCACCAGATTTCAATATTGATTTTAACCGTATTTCTATTTTATCTCGTTGTAAGTTTACTAAATACACCGATTTCAGAGAACGATGAAAGTTTAGTTCCATTTGGTCTCGACACAAAATAAGTAAATATACAGGGTGGTCCGAACTGTATTTCGGAAACTTCGCCAGCATGTTCTGTAGATAAAAATAAATAAAAAAGTTCGTATAAATGTATGTCCTAAAATGCTTAGTTTCGGAGATACAGGGTGTAGAAGTTTCATTTTTATTTCGATTTTTTTCAAATAATTTCTGAATTAACGTCAATATTTGGATGAAAATTGGCGTCTGAGAATTTTTTGACATGAGTCAATATGACTCCTACTAGTAGAGAGCGCCACCTACATATTTTTTAACTGGTTTGAAAAGTAATAACTTTTCGTTCGTACCTGTATAAAACTACTGAGTAAAAAATATACATTTGCGACATTTCCTACGTAAAAAAGATCTTTTGGTAAAAATCGCTACGAGTAATGGTTTTCCAGATATTTGGAATCGGAATTATCAATACCTGTCATCAGTGACATAAATTAAACATGTTGACTAAATAGTTATTAGTCGGAAATCATAAATTTGAAATGTTTTTGTGCCAAAAGTTCAACAGAAACTATTTTATCATCTGTTTCTGTTGAACAGAAACTATTTTATGTTAAACAGAAATTTTATGTTAAACAGAAACTATTTTATCATCGCCTTTGTCTTGTGGAACCATACATAAGCATTAACCCGGTCCAAGGGAAACCAGAGTGTCCTTCTCTGAATCCACTTAGACAAATCTTGACAGGCGCGTCCAAGTCGCGGGGGTGGGCCCGATTTCACGAAATCGGTGGCTAAGTCCTGTCTGGGACCCAATGTTGCGGGGTATAACGCTTCCCCCTGGCCAGGGTTACGGTCGAAGACCACAACGGCGAAGAAGGCGGAGAGGATGGACCTCAGTACGGCGGATTTGGCGGAAGTGGCTACCCAGCTTTAGGGATAATGTATAAGCAGCAGGGAAAATTGGTCTCTTGAGTCTTGAAGGACACCCAGTTTAGGGGAAGAAAACCCTGACATAAAATTCTCTGGTCCTCCTAGTAGGGGGTTAAGGCGTTGGGTCTGCAGCCCATCACTTATAAAAATTCAAAAAACGCAAAATTTCTCAACAAAACCTCGGACCCGGACTTTCAGAAACGTAGACGAAAATTGGCAATGAAACGGACTTTACGAATAGGAACATGGAATATTCAAGGGATAGCAACAAAGAGAGAAGTATTTAAAGAAATGGAACGGTACGATATGGACATAATAGCTCTAACAGAGACTAAGAAAAAAGGGAAAGGTACAGAAGAGAAGGATGGATATGTGCATATATACAGTGGTGTACCAAAAGAGGAGCGAGTCCGCGGTGGAGTATCACTAGCAATTAGGAAGAAATATAAGAAATTTATAAAATCTTGGGACCAAATCAACCACAGACTTTTTCAGGTGGATTTTGATGTAAGAAATCATTCTTTGGTAGTGTAGCAGCCTATGCCCCAACTGACGACGCCCCAGCCGCCGAGAAGGACACGTTCTTTTTTGATTTGACGACAACCTTGGAAAAGATTGGAAGTCGAAAGGAGGTGATTCTAATTGGCGACTTAAATGGCAGAACAGGTTTTAAATTAAATAACCCAGTAGTAGGACGCTACGGAGAACACATTGTAAATAATAATGGTGAAAGACTTATTCACTTATGCGAACAACAAGCACTCAGGATTGCTAATGGATGGTTTCCACATAAAGATATCCGCAAATATACATGGACGCAACCCACACGAAATCTAAAATCGTTAATTGATTATATAATTGTTAGGCAGAATACTCAACTGAAAATTTCGGATGTCAGAGTAATGCGTGGCCCAGAATGTGGTACTGATCATTTCTTGGTAGTAGCAAAATCTTATTTTCCCAACAAACAAAAAATGCAATCAAATGGTTTGCCTGAGAAAAATGGAACTCTATTAAGTAACGTCAAGTATAATATCGAAAGTTTGAGGAATGACTCAACTAAATTCTTGTACCAGATGAGACTAGCCACGAGATTAAACAGAATAGGACAAGGATCTCCAAATGATATGTACGAAGGTCTGAAAACGTGCATACATGAAGCCACAAATGAGGCTCTTGGAGAGAAAATAGTCTCCACGAGATACAGAAAAGACACACCTTGGTGGAGTGAAGAACTAGGAAAGATTGTAGATGAAAAGAAGGCTGCTTATGGGAAATGGTTAAGTACACAGAGCACTCAAGACAGACTAATTTATAATGACAAGAAGAGAAGTGTACAGAAGGAAATAATAAAAGCAAAGAATGAGTACTGGGAAGAAAGATGCCAAGAAGTCAACTTAGAAGGTGGAAACACAAAAGCAAATAAAGCATAAGCTGTTTCCCAGAAACTAAGCATTTTAGAACATACATTTATTCGAACTTTTTTACTTATTTTTATCTGCAGAATATGCTGCCGAAGTTTCCGGAATACAGTTCGGAACACCCTGTATATAGTTTGTTTAAAGCTGATATCAACCATCTTCTATGAAAAATAATGATGTATAAAAAGTATATTAGTATATTATTATGAAAATATCTCATTGACATTTCGATAAAAATGTAAGGCCAGTTATTAAAAGGCTGACAATACCAGTTGCTCAACCCAATGCTCTAAAGCCAATAAGCATATTTTTACTAAAAAATATATAATTCATTTTAAAACAATAAATAGAAATGCAAACAACATCATTTGTTCAAATTAATGTTTTAAGTAAGTGATGTAGAAATTAGAACGTCTAATAAGCGAGCTGAAGATTTATAAATAAAATGTCTCTCTGAAAATCGAAAAAAAATCCAACATTACAGGAAGGTAATCAAAACACTAAGTATACTAGGAAATATGCCATCCATAAATAAAGAAGAGTAACTAAAATTTTATAAATATGTGAAATCCTATGTGGGAAATTCCCAGATAATTGTAATGAAGTAAGTAATAGCTAAAAGAAAAAAAAAACAATTTTATATATCTGTACTTTTTTAGCAATCCCCATTATAATCTGAATAATATTAAATAAAATTAAATAATTCGATTCAGTAAATTGAATACAAAGTAGTAAGAGTAGTGAAAGACTAGACATAAAATCTGATAGAAAAAACATCGCTACCTCTTTCCTGTAAAGCGCAGCACCCGCAAAAGGTTCAAGCAGATTTATCATCAAATGTAGTGGAAGTGACAAATGAACGTGTCATTGCCAGCGGTACATATCTATCTGTTACGTTTCCATACGAAACCATCGCTCATATATTTTAAAACGGCCGTTTCTTTTGCCCATTTCTTTTGCCCATAGGCAGTCCTGCGTCGTGCAGATAGTACAGCTGGTGTGTATCAAACAATTTGTTTGAAACTACGCCGATTTTTCATATTAAAAAAGGATAAATAGTGGCTCTGACTATATACAAATATCTTAACATATATACTAACTTTATACATGCATACATACATACGGCCATTACTCGCTGACGAGTATTTGACACAGTGTCTCGATAATATCTGCGTGATGTAGTAATCGACTTCGCTATCGGATCGTTATCCATTTTTGCAGATTCGGAATGAGTATAAATATCCATCTTCAATGACTTCCGCCCGTCCATTTTTCCTGCCATTTTTCCATGAGTCGCGCTCTGGCTTCGTTTTTTGTTGAACCATTGTAGACTTCATACCTCTCTTATCAGGAGATCAATTGGAGGAATTCCGGCAATAACACCAACGCCCTCCCCTGTATAGTTCGGTAGGCGCTACAAACTCTAGTGCACAAAGCCCTCTGTAATCTCCTTAGTTTCATCAGTCTATTCTGGCATTTGGCGCTGCATACAATATTTGTGAGTACATAACGCTGTCTAAAATGCGTCTTTTAGATGCTCTGAGACCTCTTATTTTTGGCATTAAATTTGACAATGCAGCTTCCCTTATTGCCAGTAGTTCAGCATGAAGAATGTTATTGAAATGATGATGTTTAGATCCTCTTTTACTACCCTTCTACTGACCTTAGCTTTGTAGATCTTGAAGATGTTTTCGGGAAGAACATAACGGAAGTCATCCGTATCCTCAATGCCACCGAAATCTTTATATATGGTTGTTATAAACATTAACTAACCAGCTAACTAATACTTATTTAAGAATAACATTATAAAATAGTGTAGTAAAATATATTTTCGTACATGTGTTGCACTTTCTATATCTGTATTATTGCAATCCGTCCTCTTCACCTATACAGCTCTCCGTGTAAATTGAATTACGTCGTTATTACGTCGTCTAATATTCTCCGGAAATGCGGGCGAGCGTGTGCGTCGTGAAAGACGTAACACGTAATCTCGCATCTAAAGTTGTAGAACGGGGATTAGCACACATGCAGACGGATACGGTGGCCGTGCCATTTATTTCGCCGCTCTAGTACGGTAGATTAGTGTCAAAAGGAGACAAAGCGTCTCGAAAAGGACTATTCCGGGTTTCCCTTCCGACCGAATAATCTTGGAGATGCGTTTAACACTCCGTAATGGAATTTCGGGAAAGTAATTACGGGTACGTTTATCTAGAAACACAGTGTTATCTAAATAAGATTGTACAAAGAGATAAATTTATTTTATAAATTGCTACTACTGATATGTGTATAAGAGATAGACTACCTAATATACGTACATGGATTTGTTTTGACCCAACCATATCCTACAATTACAATTTAAATATTAGTTTGTTTATTTGTAGTTTGATTCGATCACAGAGATAAAGTAATCCTGATCTATCAAGATTTGACGTCATTGAGTTAGTTTCAGGACCTTAATGGAAGCAGAAAAAGGTGTTTAATAAACGAGTGAAATGTCATAGGATTAGAATTCCCGAATATATAGAATGTAGAATGTTTAGGAGGGGGTTAATCACCGCGACCTTACAGATCTATTGTGTGTTCCCCTTTCTTGAGTTATAACGAGTTATTAGGGCATTAACAAGACAACATTATGCCCTTCCATTCTGGGGTTCTTGCTGCGCAACAAAACTTGATAGTATTTTCAAACTTCAAAAGAGAGCAGTTCAGAGAGCATTTGGCGTAGTCTGTCAGAGGACGCCGGACCAGTTAAGGGTTAATCCGTAAGCACATATCTGCTATTCCCGAAAGGCCACCTCACAATTATCCACTTAGGAATGCGGAGCCCGATTTTTATCTGCCAACACCGAGCTCAAAACAAGTTAAAGGCTCAATACTATAAAATGCTAAAAAAATGTACAATCATCTGCCTTTGGATATTAAGTCGCTTTCATTCTTTCCCGCATTTCGTAAAGCTCTGAAATCATACTTACTGGAGAAATCCCTATATGCGGTAAAGGACCTTTTTGTTGATGTTTAATCATGAACAATTTTGAATTTTAAAATTTTGATCATCTGACACATTGGTTAAAAGTCTAGTACTTAATATTTTATATTTCTTAAAAATTTTCCTATTGGAAAATTTTATTGAAACGCCTTGTATGTTCTATTTGTAACTTTAATGACGCTAGTTTTTTTGAATTGTATGATTTGTATTTTATGATATTTTTATATTATTTGTATATTTTTTGTGCTTTTCTTTGTTTTGTAAATGCTTTGTCGATGAAGCTATTTTGGCTCTTTGTACAATAAAGCGTTATTTATTTATTTATAAGAGCTAGTATCTGAGACGGTTCCAGAGAGACCAGCTCTCCATCCTCGACATCAGCCGTACCAAAGTTCATGGCACAAACGGTCGTCGCGCGTCGTCTCGGCGCACTCAGTGATAATGTGTTCAGGTGTTTCCCCATTTTCCCCACAGAATCTGCATTCTCCTTTGTTCCTCAGCTTCAGTCTACTGAGGTGTTCGTTGAGGAGATGCTCGTGACAATCCGAAGATTGTTTTTACTTAAATCAACGAACATTTTTTAAACTGTATGAAGTGTCTTTTTTTCCAATAAAAAGGGGCCATTCTCTTTAGGAAACACTGCGACCTGTGAGACCTATAGTGTTTAATTTTTCTTTTTTGGAGTGTCTTAGGGAATGCGAATGGAATCTTCCAGGTCTCTCAGTTCCGCCTTTAATTGGCTTCCACTTGGAAAACAGAACGGTTCTTGTCTACTTAGTGGGAGTGTTTGCCCCTTTTCTAGCTATATCATTTGCTTTTTCATTGCCTCCTATCCCTTGGTGAGTGGGCACCCAGAGTAGGACTTTATCTTCTTTGCCTAATTTGTTCCCCGAGTATAGAATTCTTCAGTCGCGTCTCAAATAGTACCATGCAGATTCGGTGATAAACTGTATCATCCGTGTAGTTGTAAAAACTGGTGATATACAACACAAGTACATGCGGGAGATTGCCTATGCTCTGTACAGCATACCACTGTAAGAAAGAAGAATACAGTTACCTAATACATAAAATCCCAAACGTTTGATGACTGCCATTTTGAATTTTTGAGGTGTTTTGAACTTCTTTACGTGCGCTGGGAATAAAAATTCAAGGTCGTGACATAAGAGCTAGCCAAGGTCGCCAAGCGTCACAAAAATAGATACATTAAAATACAGCAACAACAGTCCAATCAGATCAAAAAAGTAATCGTCGCAAATCTAGGCGGCTGTGATATACCTCTTGTAAATTTAACAAAAATTAAAGGATTTAGAGTAAAATAATCAACGGTAATAAAAAGATACCCGTTTAAAACATACACACACCGGAAAACTCTAGTGATATTACAATTTTATCCAGCCATCGTCAGTAATTTTATTACTTGCATTTCTGATATAATAAAATTAAAATAAACAAATAGTTTACAGGACGTATTGGAAATAAAAATGCGAAATTTACCGAATTTTTCAAATTTACCTTGATTTTTATTGAACTCAAAAAAATACACACATTTTTTTTTTATTCTAAACTGTGAATTAAAAAAAAAAGATAAAACCACTTTTATTTAATAAAGGGTATGGCCTCCTCTATTGTTCATTACAGCCCTACATCGTCTCTCCATGCTCCTGATCAGGTTGTCGATCTCTTCTTGAGGTACAGCCTGCCACGCTGCATTCACGGCCCGAACCAGATCCCTATACGAGTTTCACGAGGCATACCCATTCTCAAAATTCTTCTTTGGACCGCGTCCCATACGTGCTCGATGGGGTTGAGGTCAGGAGATTGTGCCGGCCAGGGTAAGATGTTTAATTGATGAGCAAACCAAACTCACTTACCACTCTGGCTGTATGAGGCCGAGCATTGCCATGCATGAGAATGAAGTTTCTCCCAAAATCATTGGCATATGGTAACACGACAGGCTCAAGAATTAAATCACGATATGTGATTCCTGTTAGAAACCTTTCAAGAAAAACGAGATCGGTTTTTCGGC